ATGCGCGCAGCGGGGCGGTGCTTCCCGCGCGGGGCGGAGGGCGGGGGTTTAACCGCCCCGCGCGGAGGTAACGTCGCTCTCGCGCGGAGGGGGCTGGTCCCCGCCGTGTCCCCACGCGGGCCCCGGGCAGCGCGGCCGCGGCACCCCGCGCTCCTCCGTCAACCCCAAGGCTTTCCCCGCCGGCCGGCGCTGTCTGTTCGCTCCTGATAGCGGCGCGGCGCAGTCCTGGTGTTCGTGCCCGGCCCTTCCCCCGGTGTCTGTGCGCGGCGCTTCGGGGCAGCGTGAGCGGGGGAGGCCGCGCGTTGGAAGCGTTTGGGGAGCAAACGCTGGCAAAAAGGGAACAAAATCCGTGTAATCGGGAGGAAGGTGCTGGGGTAGTCTCGGTCCTCGGCGAGGCAGGATGACAGAGCAGAGTTGTGAGGGGCCTGTGCTGCACCCAGCTGGTGTTCAACGAGACCTGAATTCGTTACCAGAAAGACTAGAAAAAAAATGTGTTTTTAGTAAGTTTGGGGTTCACAAAGAGCTGATTCGGTTCCTAAATGATAAAATAATGATAAATAAAAGCAGTAAATGAAGCGTCCTGGACTTTTCATCATACGTTGAGGCCGCCGGGCTGCAGTTCGAGGCGCGTTGTTGTCGCTCGTGTGGGAATGAAACGGAGTGGGGAGGATCGGGGACGGGGCTCGTGTGGGATGAAACAGAGCGGGGAGGATCAGGGACGGGGACGGGGCTCGTGTGGGAATGAAACGGAGCGGGGAGGATCAGGGATGGGGCGTTCGCTGATCACTGCCAAGCAGCCTTTGCCCCGTGGGCATGGGGGTTTCGCCTGGCTTCCCTTCCTCCCCTGACGTGCAACAGGTTGTGTGACTGTTTTTCATCAAAACATGAAAGTTTTGGTGCCTTAAGTTATAATCTCGACTGGGTTGTGGTACCGGTTTGTGAAGACCTGAGTAAAGCTCTTTGAAGAGGCAAAAAGCAGCCAACTTGTTAATAAGGCAATATAACACGTGATAAGCGGCGGTGAAAGGCAGCATTGATATGATTAGGCAGTGTGTTAGTTCATAAAATACGGATACTGGAGGACACTGGAAACCGCAGAAACGGTTTCTTTACCTTGAGATTTGGAAAGAATAACCCTGGATTAAAGGCGGGACCTGTATATTACAATAGGGGAGATGGCCCCATGCCAGAGGATCACCTGTGGTTCTAAGAAACAAAAGAATTCAAAAGTGAGAGAAGCAATGAAAAGTCCAAGGAATGAAAGGAAAAAGCCCCAGGGACATTCGTTGCGAGGACTTCTCTGTGGCTGAATAAATAGAGCCATACAACAAGTCTCAGCACTGAACTCCTAGTTGTTTGCACTGCCAATTTACCATCTTATTTCCTGACTCTGTTTTGGGCCAAAACACATTTGCTGTAAAATGTGCAAGCCTTAAACAGTGCGAAGGAGAGGTAATCTGTGCCATGACCTCAGAGTTGGGAATTTGCCCCTGGACCTCCATTTTTATTATTTTTTTATTACTATATTATTATTATCATTGTTTTCATTGCTGTTAGCATTACGATTCAGACTGACCTTGCAGTGGGGATCAGGCTGTATCAAATGAATCTGTTTTCCTTACAATATTATTTTCCTGTATAGATGCTGCCAAGTGATAAGTACTCTGTACAAACATGTTTGAAAAATGCTTTACCAGAGATGTAAATGCTAAAAGCACTTAGGAATGGGGTAGAGCATCATCCATTAGTTGCTCTCCTTCCACATTCCCTAATCCATCCACAGTTCTCTCTGTCCACCTCTTATTTCTGACTTTTGACTTTTTCTTTTTGCCTTTCATGCCTCTTTGTTGACCATAAGTCAGTCCTTTTGCTTTTCTAAATTGATCCCTGTGCTCTTCTTCTCTGCATTTATATGAAGCTGTAATTATGTGCCCTTGTTGCTGTTCCTTTTTTGAGTTATAATTGACCTGTCGCAGACTTAAGGCTATGTTTTTCTTACTGTATTTCCTATTTTTCCTTCCTGTTTAGAAAACTTTCCACTTATGTTTATATTCTTTTCCAGTTTTTCTTCATCCTTGAGATTACCTTCTCCAAAGCTCTACTTTTGGGGTTTTTTTTTTCTCCGATTGAGGTGTTTTCTTCCTTTTCTTCACACTATATTAACTGTATTTTTCATTATCACTTTCAAACAAACTCCCTTCCTTTTGGGGATTTTCAAGTCTTGCTTCCTCTCCCACAGAGACAGTGTTTTCAGTATGTCCTGAATGGGACTTCCCTTGAGGACACCCTGCCTTCCAACTGGAGGCAGAATCACTATAAATACCTGGTTTTAGCCAAATTCACTGGCTGGTTGTTTGCTTAGGACTCCTGCTCTAGTTTTCAACCCTTTGCATTCCTTTCCAAAAGGAGCATTTGAAAGTTAAGTTCCTTCTTAGGAACTTATTCTAGGAAAATTAAGTTCTTCTGTTATTCTTGCAGTTTCTACCTCTTCGTGGATGTCTTGGTAAAGGTTTTGTTGTCCTTGAAAATCTTTTGATCTGTAGTAGTGCCTCATTAGTCACTGGACAACATCACAATCACAGACCAAATCCTCTGCCGAAAGGAACTGTCTTCCCTGCCCAGCTCCACCTAGGCCTTGCCTTAGTCCTCATTATTTCACTTATTTCACTAGACAAAGTCTTTTAGTGGCCTCTTCCACTTAATTTTGAGCAAGGCCCATCAGATTTATCCAGTTCTGTGGTTACCTTTGGAGTACAGTCTCGTCTGATGGTAGCCAGTACTGACCCCAGGACAGCAGTATTCCCAGTCTGCAGTGGCGCGTTGCAGCGTGTGGTGTTTCCTACCTGGGATAACGTTTCCTCTCCTCATCCGTTTCGCTTCTCCACGTTCCGCTTTGCAGGGGACAATGTCTGGCTCTCGATACCCCTGTTATCTGGGAAGAAGGAAGGAATAAGAGGGAACAGACTCCATTCACCACCTACCCCTGTTCCACTGCCCAGAGGGTGTCCCCCACAGGGGCACGATCCCAAGTCCTCTGCAGGAGCCAAAAGTTCCGTCCAGCCCCTTATTTCTGTTAATCATGCAAACCTTGAGGCCCCCGATGCATGAACTAAGTCTACAGAATTGGTCTGTGCCACTTTGCCTGATGACACCCTATTTGCACGTGCAAATAGACCATTTGCATGTGAAATATCATATGGTGCATAGAATGTGACTCATTCTGCTGTTTGTTTTAAATCCTTGAGTGACTCTGTTTTACTTTCTGGGCTGCAGCATTTCACCACTAAAAGCAGTAGATTGCAAGTCTGTATTGGAGGTTATTGCAGAGAAACGTTAAGGTTGCCCCCTTTCCAACTTCAGTAATTCCTTTAATATGAGTTGGGCTGATTTTATCCTCCAAAATGTCGTGAAGTAAGTGGGAGGTTGCCAACTCAGCATAGCTTTTGAAAATGTCTTTAAGACAGTTTGTTACCACAAAGCAATGAATTCTAGACACAGTTCTTCATAATCACATTTCACTTCTACATTTCACATATTTGAACACCATAATCAAAGCAGATTATTTAAGTATGTGTGAATATTGGCGAGATCTTTGAGGAAAAATGTGCTCTGTCAGGCTGTTAAAAAAACATTGATATCTTAAGAATGAGCATGTTAACATTAAATAAATTATGGATAGTCTCAAGGCTGTTGCTTACAATTAGTGCTGCACTTTCTGAAATGCAGTGATGTTAGTTTTCTTTACTATTTAGCTAACCTCTTGGCTTTTTTCTTCCAAGAACTGCCATACATTCAGATGTACCTGTTCTCTTCTCTTGCCTTTCTGTGCCTGCCCCAGCCCTGGCCTGAAGCAGCGAGGCCCAGGGTCCTCAACAACATATTAAATCAGACGCTCTACAGAATCTTAAAAGCAGGGGCCCTCCCTTCTCAAATATTTCAGCAGCTCTTCTTGAGCATTACCATGGTTATATACTTTAAATCATTGTAATAACTATTAGATTAAAGACTATGTATAGCCTGGAGGCTTATCCTGTAAGGTCATGATTTTCCTGAAGAGAGCAGCCAGCTCTGTTGCCCAACAGGATGTGCTATTAGATCGTAGGGATGATAAAGCCACCGTGTAATGATGAACACACCCCACCTTGAAATGACTAGAATTTAAATAATGTCAAAAGTTATTGATTAACCCAGGGCTGGGTATGATTTAGCTGCTCTAGTAAAACTTGACTACTCCATCTGAATGCTCGCTTTATCGAAGAGCAGAAGAGCTGCATCTTCCACACTCAGACTAAGCAAAAATGGGTGGCTCGCATGTAAGTAGCTATTTAATTTGGATTGTCAAGAATCCAAAGCCATTTCCTTCTGTTATTTTTGTCCGTTTTCACTTTAAATTGCATTAAGACAGTTGCAAATGACTAT